TTTTTATATAACACTATTTGGCATATATTTCCATGTGCAGCAGTAGGGTCATCGTTAACCTGTTGAATTGTCACGCTGTTGCACTTTGTCTAATGCTGTGCTGTTTTTGGCAGCTGTGTGGCATAGCCGGTCTGGCAGTTGGTATATGGGTGGTGGTGGACAGCGATTCACTTCTTGGTTTATTTGATTCTGTGGAAAACGCCCCAACTGAGATATTCCAAGTGGTCGTCATAGGCTACGTGTTGATCGGCGTGGGAGCTCTGCTTTTGATTGTAGGCTTTTTGGGATGCTGTGGAGCTGTCAAGGAGAGCAGATGCATGCTGCTGACGGTGGGTTAATCATTTTATAGATAAAGAAGATAGATTTTAAATATATATAATATGTCAAATTGCAACCATTTTGTTTTATTTACTGGGTGCTAAGAAAAAGTTTGTTGTTTCCTGTGCCTTTAGTTCTTCAGCATCGTGCTGATCATCTTCCTCGTCGAGGTCGCCGGAGCCATTGTGCTGTTTGCCTTCACTGATGTTGTAAGAGCTTCTGAAAAATAAACCAGGGCCTTTTTGGGTCTTAAGCTTTACAGATCTGATTAAGAAAGTTGCAGAATGTGTTTTCGAAACACAAAAAGAAATGATGTGTTACTGTTTATTTCTCATTCCCAGGTGGATGAAATGTTTGAGGAATTGGAGGGTGATGTGAAAGACGCCATTCAAAGAAAGTACGGGGAGGACAATGACATGACCACGCTGTGGAATACAACCATGGAGGAGGTGCTGGATTTATTCCTTATTAATCAGCTTATTGCAACCTCTGTTTCATGGAGGCATTTCTTTGTAAAGTACCTCTTTAATTAATACTTTACTTGTTTTCAGTTCAAGTGCTGCGGATACAAGAACTACACTGACTTTGATGGCTCGCCTTTTAACGTGTTGACAAAGGGATACCCCGGCCCATGCTGCAGAACACCAGGCATACCTTGTAATGAGTCTGGAGCGCACATGGCGGTATGAGACCAACCATGTTTTGTTTAGCTTAATTCAAGGATTCAAAGGGGCAGTGGTTACCTGTCCTTTCCTCAACTAAAATCCATCAATTTCCATTGCAGAATGTTGATGGTTGCTTTACTAAACTGGTGAAGTTTTTGGAGGATAACTCTTTCATCATTGCCGGCGTAGCTCTCGGAATAGCTGCTATTGAGGTAGATTATTACACCATTTTATTTATTTTTTTTTTTTTATGTTTTAACATTTTTTTCTTTATATACTTAGAAGAAAGCTAAAAACCGCTTTTGTTTCTACCAAATCTGATCAACTGTTAATGAGTTTTCTTCTCCCACAGATTGCAGCCATGGTGGTTTCTATGGTTCTCTACTGCAATGCTGGCAGAAAGTCACGATGATTCACGTTTAGAACGGTTATAATATAAAACAGCTTCTCTGTTAAAAGTTTATAATGTGTTTAATTTAAGCTGGCAAATTCACACATGAACAGATAATGCTCTTCATGTGTTGATTCGCAGAGTCCTAAAATTTATAATGGTTAATACTGCATTATAAATTTAAACCTGTTTGTTTACAATTGAATAGTGATTTATTTATAGCTTTAGAATGTGTTTACCTCAGCTGATGCCATTTTTGCTGATGTATTAAACAGTGGGATGTAATGAAGCACATTGAGGTGGCATCTGTTGAGTTTGTTTTTCTTTTTATGTATTACTTCTATTTAGGGCGGTAATAAAATATGTTTATTTTGTATATTATATATATTTTATGTTTAGTTGGTATTTGCCTGTTCCTAGAAACATATTTTAGTTTTTTTGCTTTGTAATGTGTTTGTACAGCAGTGGTGCATAAAAAATTAAAGACAGAACATGACTGGATGTCAAGCTTTGTTTTCTTAGCTGAACATACCTGACTTTGCACAACACCAGCAATTAAGTTATTATTTACAAAGTGAAAAGGATAAAGCCTTGTTATACTTTTACCCAAAATTGAATTTCTTACATTATTAGCAGGATTGTTATTTTCAGTTTAAGATTTTTGAGAAGCACTCAGACCATTGTTGCTGAGTCGTGATTATAAAAATGAAAAACTGTGGAAGTTAAAGAAAAAATAATGCCACAAGATAAAAATTGCATGTACTCACTACTCATATATATATATATATATATATATACCCCTGGCCAAAAAAAAAAGTCGCCACCTGGATTCAAATAAGCAAATAGGTCCGAGCCTCCTATTGTATAATTACTGCATGGGCAATTATCTTTCAGCTGGCAACAAGTTATTTAACCCCAACTGGTGCAATGACTTGCTTCTCATTTCCTAAACAACCATGTTGAAAGACACATCCCGTGGTCGTGGAAAAGATGTTAGTCTGTTTGAGAAGGGTCAAATCAATGGCATGCATCAAGCAAAGAAAACATCTAAAGAGATTACAGAAACTACTAACACTAGGTTAAGAAATATCAGCCACTTCTTCTATTTGTCTGTGGTTACGCCGTGCAGCGGCTTGTCCCTCCATGATGGTTCTCCTTCCTCTTTCTTGTCCTCACTTTTAGTTTTCTCCTGCCTGAGGTACTCACCAAGCCATTTGTCTTTGGGGGCCATCTTTCTGATGTACTCCTGGATCTTAGTTGTTTCATCCTGGACAGTGGTCTTGACACTCACTAGCCCTCGGCCTCCCTCGCTACGCTTGGTGTACAGTCTCAGAGTGCTGGATTTGGGGTGGAACCCTCCATGCATTGTGAGGAGCTTTCTCGTCTTGATGTCAGTAGCCTCTATCTCCTCCTTTGGCCAGATTATTATACCAGCGGGGCATATGTGTTGATAGCTTGGATCTTGTTTTTCCCATTCAGCTGACTTTTCAGGACCTGCCTTACTCTTTGTAGGTATTTAGCTGTGGCAGTCTTTCTTGCCATCTCCTCGTGGTTTCCATTAGCCTGTGGCACCCCAAGGTATTTGTAGCTGTCCTGAATATATATATATATATATATATATATATATATATATATATATATATATATATATATATATATATATATATATATATATATATATATATATACCCCTGGCCAAAAAAAAAAGTCGCCACCTGGATTCAAATAAGCAAATAGGTCCGAGCCTCCTATTGGATAATTACTGCATGGGCAATTATCATTTAGCTGGCAACAAGTTATTTAACCCCAACTGGTGCAATGACTTGCTTCTCATTTCCTAAACAACCATGTTGAAAGACACATCCCGTGGTCGTGGAAAAGATGTTAGTCTGTTTGAGAAGGGTCAAATCAATGGCATGCATCAAGCAAAGAAAACATCTAAAGAGATTACAGAAACTACTAACACTAGGTTAAGAAATGTCCAACGCATCATTAAAAACAGGAAGGATAGTGGGGACCCATGATCTTCAAGGAAGAAAAAAATCCTGAATGATTGTGATCGCCGATCACTTAAACGTGTGGTGAGATCAAATTAAAGGGAAAACAACTGTAGAACTCATGGCTATGTTTAATACTGAAAGTAAGAGCATTTCCACACGCACCATGTGAAGGGAACTCAAGGGATTGGGACCGAACAGCTGTGTAGCTGTACCACTAATCAGTGAGGCTAACCGGAAAAAAAGGCTTCAATTTGCTAGGGAGCATAAAGATTGGATTGTGGAGCAATGGAGCAATGGAAGGTCATGTGGTCTGATGAGTCCAGATTGACCCTGTTCCAGAGTGATGGGCCAATCAGGGTAAGGAGAGAGGAAGGTGAAGTGATGCACCCACCATGCCTAGTGCCTACTGTACAAGCCTGTGGGGGCGGTGTTATGATCTGGGGTTGCGGCAGTTGGTCAGGTCTAGGTTCAGCAACAGTATGTCCTCAAAGAAGGAGATCAACTGACTACCTGAATATACTGAAAGACTGGTTTATGGAGCATGACACATCATTTTCACACATGGATTGGCCACTACAGAGTCCAGACCTCAACCCATTGAGAATCTTTGGGATGTGCTAGAGAGGGCTTTGCGCAGCAGTCAGACTCTACCATCATCAATGCAGAAGCTTATTGAAACAATGCCACAGCGAATGCGTGCCGTAATCAAAGCTAAAGGCGGTCCAACAAAGTATTAGAGTGAAGGACCTTTTTTTTTTTGGTGGTGACTTTTTTTTGGCCAGGCAGTGTCGGGCTAAAATTTTTGTACTTTTGCAAAAATAAGTCGTCTAATATTGCAGCACCATGACTGTTTTTAGAGCAGTGACAGGATTTTAGCTCTATATTCTTCTCCAGTATTTACAGTTCTGTGCAGACGGTTACAAACACTAATTAGTAGTATTAAATGTAATCTTGATTTTGGGTATAAAATTAGATGTTCTTTTTTAGAGCAATTATTATGCTTACGCTTATACTTTTACGAAGAAAACTGTTAGGCAGACAAGTTTCATTTTACAAACTTTACTTTCTCATAGCTCTGGAAGACTTGCTAAGCTCTTTAAAACATTCCTAAGGCAAGGGTTAAAACTTATTGTTATTTTTTTTAATTTATAAAGCTTGTAGTTGTAAGAGTGGATCAGGTTATCCAGTGCTATTTCTATAGTTACAGAATGCAGCTATAGGCTTAGACTGCTGGAAGATATAGGGATTTTTCATCAATCTAATTCATTCGATCTGTATTCTCTCAATCTACATTAGTTCAGCCTCTAACCTCTTATATTCTCTGCTTTTTTCACCATATATATAAATATATATAAATATATATATTATGTCTCCTCGAACCTCGGCAGGCCTCTGCAGATGGACACTGAACCTGGCCCTGCTGGAGGTTTCTTGCTGTTAAAAGAAGTTTTCCTCTCCACTGTCGCTACACAAATCCACTGATGTTCAACATGAGTTAAGTTAGTTTAATTTGAATGAATTGTTTAGAAAGGTTTTTCCCATAAAATTGAACTGGATGGACTTTGTTCACCAGGAAGCTCTCCTAGTCCTGCTATCAGATTCCTGATGACATATTGGGCACAAGCTTTAGATTGCATGTGTCTAGGTTAAAGCTACGGACGATATAAAAGCGCTCTCGAACATCACTGAACACACACTTCTGAAGTTTCAGACCTCAACGGACACTCAGTCATCTCTGCTGTAAAGGTATGACCCTATGCTTTATTGTACCTTTAACCAAAATACTTACTTGAGCAGAACCTGGGTATGTTTTCTCAGAACCTGAAAAAATGAAAGAAATTTTAAGTACATTTAAAAAAAAAAAAGAGGAAAACAATTTAGAAATCCCTGATCTGATTTAGCTGTAACCAAAATTTCCTTCAAAATCTGTTTACAAAAGACTGTCGAGTTTGGTCAAAAAAAAAAAAAAATAATAATTTATTTTGTTTACTTGTTACGATAAATAATTTTTTTTTTAATTTCTATATTTTTGCTAAAAGAAATAACGCATACACAGTAAGAATGGGCAGGATAAATGACCCTTCTGTCTGTTTTTAGAGCAGTGAGGCAAGCAAGGCTTTTGCTGCAGTCATGTGAGCATTTTATTACCACTAGTCGTGATAAGGACAGTAACAAAGCCTCAATAACTATAAAACCCAGCCCAACGGTAAATAAGGAGAAGTATTAATGGTGCAACATTTGGGTTAAGGATGATTTTAATGGCACTTTTTTGGGGGGAAGATTACAACGCTGGACTTTAAGAACAAGGTGTTGTTTGAAACCATAAACCCTTGGCTGTGAGGTCAGCCATCAGCTAGGACAGTAATAAATAACACTTCTTTTGCTGAGAGAAAATCAGGTGTTATTTTGATATGTTTATATCAAATATGTTATATAACATATAACATTTATTAATATTGAAATTAAATGCAGGGAATTATTACTACTTCAGTAGTAATATGCCTGTTGATTATTCAGCCTCGGTGATACTTAAAGAGAAACTCTGCCCTATGCATGAAAAACATGCATTATTTAAAGAAGATTACAGCTGCCCACTGTTTTTTCCCCTGCAGTTTGCCAGGGTTAATATTTCACCAAACCTGATCCGGTTTGCCCCATTCTGTGTCCACCTGTACTTTTAGTCCATGCAAATCTTTCTTTTAAGAGAATGTGAAACAGGAAGTCAAAAATAAAGTAGTTAAGACACAAAATCTTTCTAAACTGATCTTTTTCTTCTCTGTTCATCAGCATAAATCAGCCAAGATGTGCACAGGTTTCCTCAAAGTCATGATGTTCATCTTCAATGGTGCCATCTTTGTAAGAAATATTATATCTTACCATTTTGTTTGATCATAAAATTGTTGAAAATCCCTGCAAGAGTTTTTTTTATATAACACTATTTGGCATATATTTCCATGTGCAGCAGTAGGGTCATCGTTAACCTGTCGAAATGTCATGCTGTTGCACTTTGTCTAATGCTTTACTGTTTTGGCAGCTGTGTGGCATAGCCGGTCTGGCAGTTGGTATATGGGTGGTGGTGGACAGCGATTCACTTCTTGGTTTATTTGATTCTGTGGAAAACGCCCCAACTGAGATATTCCAAGTGGTCGTCATAGGCTACGTGTTGATCGGCGTGGGAGCTCTGCTTTTGATTGTAGGCTTTTTGGGATGCTGTGGAGCTGTGATGGAGAACAGATGCATGCTGCTGACGGTGGGTTAATCATTTTATAGATAAAGAAGATAGATTTTAAATATATATAATATGTCAAATTGCAACCATTTTGTTTTATTTACTGGGTGCTAACAAAAAGTTTGTTGTTTCCTGCCCTTTCAGTTCTTCAGCATCGTGCTGATCATCTTCCTCGTCGAGGTCGCCGGAGCCATTTTGCTGTTTGCCTTCACTGATGTTGTAAGAGCTTCTGAAAAATAAACCAGGGCCTTTTTGGGTCTTAAAGGAATAGTACACCCAAAACATGATTAGCCTTCATTTTCTACTCACCCCCATGCTGAACAACACTCTGGAGTACTTTTTTGATATCTCAAATGCATCTGGAGATCTGGGAGGCTTCTTGCTGTCTGCTGACATTCAAATAATGGAGGTCTATTGTGCCCGAGTCAGAAAGGTCCATAAAAGTCCACAAAAGAAATGTGCTGTTTACCTGTGCAAAGAAAGAAACAACGAAAGAAAAATGTCTGAGGACTTCAGTGTTGAGGAAGAGCATGAGTTATTTGCCGAGCTGAATGCGCTGGTTTGGTCTGCCGGCTTCCGTAGCTTCGTGAACGCGCATGTGCGCGCTTTCAGGAAATCCTATACACTACTGTTCATTCTCTAAAAACATTCTAAATGACTTCGTTTCGAGTAAATTCTGGACGCTACCCACTCAGGACACTTGGAATACATTGGACGAGCAGTATGGAGGAATATTGACACGTTTTTGTGGACTTTTATGGACCTTTCTGTCTCGGGCGCCATAGACCTCCATTATTTGAATGTCAGCAGACAGCAAGAAACCTCCCAGATCTCCAGATGCATTTGAGATATCAAAAAAGTACTCCAGAGTGTTGTTCAGCATGGGGGAGAGTAGAAAATGAAGGCTAATCATGTTTTGGGTGTACTATTTCTTTAAGCTTTACAGATCTGATTAAGAAAGTTGCAGAATGTGTTTTCGAAACGCAAAAAGAAATGATGTGTTACTGTTTATTTCTCATTCCCAGGTGGATGAAATGTTTGAGGAATTGGAGGGTGATGTGAAAGACGCCATTCAAAGAAAGTACGGGGTTGAGAATGAAATGACCACGCTGTGGAATACAGCCATGGAGGAGGTGCTGGATTTATTCCTTATTAATCAGCTTATTGCAACCTCTGTTTCATGGAGGCATTTCTTTGTAAAGTACCTCCTTAATTAATACTTTACTTGTTTTCAGTTCAAGTGCTGCGGATACAAGAACTACACTGACTTTGATGGCTCGCCTTTTAACATGGTGACAGGGGGATACCCCGGCCCATGCTGCAGAACACCAGGCATACCTTGTAATGAGTCTGGAGCGCACATGGCGGTATGAGACCAACCATGTTTTGTTTAGCTTAATTCAGGGATTCAAAGGGCAGTGGCTACCTGTCCTTTCCTCAACTAAAATCCATCCATTTCCATTGCAGAAAGTTGACGGTTGCTTTACTAAACTGGTGAAGTTTTTGGAGGATAACTCTATCATCATTGCCGGAGTAGCTATCGGAATAGCTGCTATTGAGGTACATTGTTACATCATTTTTGTTTCTACCAAATCTGATCAACTATTAATGAGTTTTCTTCTCCCACAGATTGCAGCCATGGTGGTTTCTATGGTTCTCTACTGCAATGCTGGCAGAAAGTCACGATGATTCACGTTTAGAACGATGTTAAGATCATTGTCATTGGTTATAATATAAAACAGCTTCTCTGTTAAAAGTTTATAATGTGTTTAATTTAAGCTGGCAAATTCACACATGAACAGATAATGCTCTTCATGTGTTGATTCGCAGAGTCCTAAAATTTATAATGGTTAATACTGCATTATAAATTTAAACCTGTTTGTTTACAATTGAATAGTGATTTATTTATAGCTTTAGAATGTGTTTACCTCAGCTGATGCCATTTTTGCTGATGTATTAAACAGTGGGATGTAATGAAGCACATTGAGGTGGCATCTGTTGAGTTTGTTTTTCTTTTTATGTATTACTTCTATTTAGGGCGGTAATAAAATATGTTTATTTTGTATATTATATATATTTTATGTTTAGTTGGTATTTGCCTGTTCCTAGAAACATATTTTTGTTTTTTTGCTTTGTAATGTGTTTGTACAGCAGTGGTGCATTAAAAATTAAAGACAGAACATGGCTGGATGTCAAGCTTTGTTTTCTTAGCTGAACATACCTGACTTTTCACAACACCAGCAATTAAGTTATTATTTACAAAGTGAAAAGGATAAAGCCTTGTTATACTTTTACCCAAAATTGAATTTCCTACATTATTAGCAGGATTGTTATTTTCAGTTTAAGATTTTTGAGAAGCACTCAGACCATTGTTGCTGAGTCGTGATTATAAAAATGAAAAACTGTGGAAGTTAAAGAAAAAATAATGCCACAAGATAAAAATTGCATGTACTCACTACTCATATATATATATATATATATATATATATATATATATATATATATATATATATATATATATATATATATATATATATATATATATATATATATATATATATAAACAAAAAACTGTTTTCTCACCCCTCGTGGGGTGGTATGTGTCATCCTCAAGCTCGGGTCCTCTACCAGAGGCCTGGGAGTTTGAGGGTTCTGCGCAGTATCTTAGCTGTTCCTAGGACTGCGCTCTTCTGGACAGAGACCTCTGATGTTTTACCTGGAATCTGCTGTAGCCACTCTCCCAGTTTGGGGTCACAGCCCCCAGTGCTCCAATTACCACTGGCACCACTGCTGCTCTTACTTTCCACATCTTTTCTAGCTCCTCCTTCAGTCCTTGGTATTTCTCAAGCTTCTCGTGTTCTTTCTTCTTGATGTTGATGTCGCTTGGGATTGCCACATCTATCACTACTGCCTTCTTCTGCTGTTTGTCGATCAACACGATGTCTGGTTGGTTAGCCATCACCTGTTTGTCAGTCTGGATCTTGAAGTCCCATAGGATCTTAGCTCGGTCATTCTCAACTACCTTAGGAGGTGTCTTCCATTTTGACCTTGGGACTTCCAGCCCATACTCATGGCAGATGTTCCTGTACACTATGACAGCTACCTGGTTGTGGCGTTCCATGTATGCACTTCCTGCCTGCATTTTACACCCTGCTGTTATGTGCTGTATTGTTTCAGAGGCATCTTTGCACAGTCTGCATCGGGGGTCCTGCCTGGTGTGGTAGACCCTGGCCTCTATTGATCTTGTACTGAGTGCCTGTTCTTGTGCTGCCATGATTAGTGCCTCTGTGCTGTCCTTCAGTCCAGCCTTTTCCAGCCACTGGTAGGATTTTTTGATATCAGCCACTTCTTCTATTTGTCTGTGGTATACGCCGTGCATCGGCTTGTCCCTCCATGATGGTTCTCCTTCCTCTTTCTTGTCCTCACTTTCGGTTTTCTCCTGCCTGAGGTACTCACCAAGCCATTTGTCTTTGGGGGCCATCTTTCTGATGTACTCCTGGATCTTAGTTGTTTCATCCTGGACAGCGGTCTTGACACTCACTAGCCCTCGGCCTCTCGCTTGGTGTACAGTCTCAGAGTGCTGGATTTGGGGTGGAACCCTCCATGCATTGTGAGGAGCTTTCTCGTCTTGATGCCATATTATTATACCAGCGGGGTATCTGATGACTGGTAGGGCATATGTGTTGATAGCTTGGATCTTGTTTTTCCCATTCAGCTGACTTTTCAGGACCTGCCTTACTCTTTGTAGGTATTTAGCTGTGGCAGTCTTTCTTGCCATCTCCTCGTGGTTTCCATTAGCCTGTGGCACCCCAAGGTATTTGTAGCTGTCCTGAACATATATATATATATATATATATATATACCCCTGGCCAAAAAAAAAAGTCGCCACCTGGATTCAAATAAGCAAATAGGTCCGAGCCTCCTATTGGATAATTACTGCATGGGCAATTATCATTTAGCTGGCAACAAGTTATTTAACCCCAACTGGTGCAATGACTTGCTTCTCATTTCCTAAACAACCATGTTGAAAGACACATCCCATGGTCGTGGAAAAGATGTTAGTCTGTTTGAGAAGGGTCAAATCAATGGCATGCATCAAGCAAAGAAAACATCTAAAGAGATTACAGAAACTACTAACACTGGGTTAAGAACTGTCCAACGCATCATTAAAAACAGGAAGGATAGTGGGGACCCATGATCTTCAAGGAAGAAAAAAATCCTGAATGATTGTGATCGGCGATCACTTAAACGTGTGGTGAGATCAAATTAAAGGGAAAACAACTGTAGAACTCATGGCTATGTTTAATACTGAAAGTAAGAGCATTTCCACACGCACAATGCGAAGGGAACTCAAGGGATTGGGACTGAACAGCTGTGTAGCTGTAAGAAAACCACTAATCAGTGAGGCTAACCGGAAAAAAAAGGCTTCAATTTGCTAGGGAGCATAAAGATTGGACAGTGGAGCAATGGAAGAAGGTCATGTGGTCTGATGAGTCCAGATTGACCCTGTTCCAGAGTGATGGGCCAATCAGGGTAAGGAGAGAGGAAGGTGAAGTGATGCACCCACCATGCCTAGTGCCTACTGTACAAGCCTGTGGGGGCGGTGTTATGATCTGGGGTTGCTGCAGTTGGTCAGGTCTAGGTTCAGCAAAAGCATGTGCTCAAAGAAGGAGATCAACTGACTACCTGAATATACTGAATGACTGGTTCAGGGAGCATGACACATCATTTTCACACATCCCCATTGAGAATCTTTGGGGTGTGCTAGAGAGGGCTTTGCGCAGCAGTCAGACTCTACCATCACCAATGCAAGATCTTGGTGAAAAATGAATGCAACACTGGATGGAAATAAATCTTTTGACATTGCAGAAGCTTATTGAAACAATGCCACAGCAAATGCGTGCTGTAATCAAAGCTAAAGGCGGTCCAACAAAGTATTAGAGTGAGTGACCTTTTTTTTTGGTGGTGACTTTTTTTTTGGCCAGGCAGTATATATATATATATATATATATATATATATATATATATATATATATATATATATATATATATATATATATATATATACGTCTCCTGGAACCCCGGCGGGCCTCTGCAGATGGACACTTAGCCTGGCCCTGCTGGAGGTTTCTTGCTGTTGAAAGAAGTTTTCCTCTCCACTGTCGCTAAACAAATGCTCAGAGTGAGGGATTGCATTCAAGTCAATCAGTCGATGCAATCAGCTGGTTTTCCTTAGATAGAGATATTTTGAAGAATATGATTGTGTTACCTATTATAATAAATTGATCTATCTATTCGCAGCTTATCTCTGTGTGAGTCTCTCCAGGTTGAATTGCCTTTCAACAAGAAGAAGAACACATAAACAGAAACTACTGCTTGTGCAATGATATAAAGTTCAATCAATGGGTTTGTTTTTATCTCCTTCCTCAGTTAAACACAGTTGTTAAACCTGGTTTATCACAGATGAAACATCTGAAGTCTCATGTATGTCGCACTCCAACACTCAGTAAGAAATCACTCAAAAAGAAATCACTCAAAAAGAAAGCAAGATGCACCTGATCATGGGAGGTTCATGGTCGAATGATGTGCTAATGGACCCGACAGGGTTCACATCCTTCTGTAATCAATGCCCTCACAAGGTTTTCTAACATTAAGTTTGTGAAGATGTTGTTGTTTGTGAAGATGTTGAGGGAAATCTTTGCTTTTACCCTATTTGAGATGCTCATGTGGGACACATTTGACAAATCTTTTTAGAGGCCATTAGTTTCAACTGAACAAGCTGATATTTTTTCACCTTCAAGGTACAGGATGGCTTTCTGATCAGTGACAGATTTCAGCCCGGTGTCTTGGCTTTTCCTCTTTTTCATCTCTCTCACTGTATGCGTTCCCTATTTCTCTCCTGTGCCCATCTGAGCTTGTCTTTTTAGGTTTATTTTTATCTATGGATCACTTGGGTTTCTAACAACACCTGGTGAAAGTTTCATGATAAGTAATACCTTAAAAAAAACTTTTATGTTCAGTTCAATTCAGTTTTTTCATTTAGCTCCAACACATGTCGTCTCAAGGCACTTCACATAAACATTTAAACCAGATCATGTTGTCAGATTGGTTCAAAGTTTGCTATCTAAAGAAGTCCAGATTATTTACTCATCCACTCAACAGCAATCCCTCACAATAAGCATGCTTCCAGCAACAGTGGAGAGGAAAAACTCCCTTTTAACAGACAGAAACCTCCAGCAGAACCAGGCTCAATGTGAGCGGCCATCTGCCGAGGCCGACTGGGGTTCGAGGAGACAGAAGCAGAGATACAAAAAGACAATAACATACAAAAGGCGCTATACCCTCTACAGTGTGACAGACTAGACCCAATTTCTGTTTTATTCTTCTTATTATTATTTATTGTTTTTTGTGTTTATTTATCTTTTGTTTGCCTGCCTCTTTCTGTTCCCCTGTATGATGCTAAATGCTTGATAACCCACATTTAAGGCAATAAAGTTCCAAAAAAAAAGAAAAAAAGAAAACGGCAACTGTCAACCAGGTCCAGAGTCACACAGTCGTTAGTCAAAGTCAGAGAAACAGAGCTACAATGCAAAAAAACAGGACAGAAAGCTCTAATATCTCTATAAAAAAAAGGTGTTGATGGCAGCAGCACAGCTGATCTATATCTCTGGGCTATATCACAGCAAAACAGGAAGAGAACAGATGAAGCTACTATGGTGAAAAAAGCAGAGAATATAAGAGGTTAGAGGCTGAACTAATGTAGATTGAGAGAATACAGATAGAACGAATTAGATTGATGAAAAATCCCTATATCCTCCAGCAGTCTAAGCCTATAGCTGCATTCTGTAACTATAGAAATAGCACTGGATAACCTGATCCACTCTTACAACTACAAGCTTTATTTAAAAAAAAAAAAAAAAAAAGTTTTAACCCTTGCCTTAGGAATGTTTTGAGGATCTTAGCAAGTCTTCCAGACCTACGAGAAAGTAAAGTTTCTAAAATGAAAGTTGTCTTCCCAACAGTTTTTTTTTTCGTAAAAGTATAAGCGTAAGCATAATCATTGCTCTAGAAAAGAACATCTAATTTTATACCCAAAATCAAGATTACATTTAATACTACTAATTAGTGTTTGTAACCGTCTGCACAGAACTGTAAATACTGGAAAAGAATATAGAGCTAAAATCCTGTCA